TCTGTGGGCACCAGCTCCCTTGCAGTGCTCCTCTTTCTCAGTATTTATCTGGCCCCTCCTACTCTTACTACCTCCCCACTACTACCTTCCCTCCACTACTACCACTACTACTGCCACCTCCTGCCTATTTATACTCATCCTGCTCTCCTTTTTGTTAGTGTGACTTTGTAAATGGTCCAAGTCGGACCGAAACGTCTTCGAAAGCTCTTCTCTTCCATGTGCGGGTTATTTGTGTACTGTTCCAGACACGGTATTGTGCCTTTTTTTGTTAATTGTATCTATAATTTTTCTCAACATGCTAGTTGTCTCCCACTGAAGCAGGGTGACCCCCCCCCCCAAAAAAAAAAAAAAAAAAAAAAAAAAAAAAAAAAAAAAAAAAAAAACATTTTACTTCTAACATTTAGGTCAGACTACACGTGCATGTACACATACATTATTACGCACTCATCAGAGTTTTCTTCTGTTTTTTCTTAATAGTTCTTGTTCTTATTTCCTTTCATTTTCAAGGGGGCAGTGGAATAAGAATCTTTCCTCTAAGCCATGTATGTTGTAAAAGCTGACTAAAATGCCAGGAGTAATGTAGTAACCCATTCTTCTGTATAAATTACATAAAAGAAAATCTTTATGAAATTCTTAGTTAAATACAAAACTTGGGAAGCAAGCTCAAAAGGCAAATGATTGCTGACTTGGGTGTTGCTATGCCGAGGCTTGAGCAACAAATACTCACTGTGAGGCTGGTAGTGTACCAAGAGACGAACCATTCAGATTAACATTAAAAGATCTAGAATGAGGGGATGCTTTTATCTTGAGTGCTGACAAGACTGATTTCTTGGCATTCACTATCAACATTTCAGTCTTTCAGCATTAAGCAAAGGCTATAAGGTAAGAAGGCACCTCTAAATATTATGCTGTGTTAATGCTGATGGTACAAACTGTTTGTAATTGACACTTACAGGCAAATCAACATGGCTGCATGTTGCAAAGAATTGCATTTAGGAGTTACCAGTTAACTATTAAAAGACACAAAAAGGGAAATATCTGCTGACTGGGTTTATATACAAAATTTATCCTTGAAGCATGCAAGTACCAGCTTGAAGTGATAAATTAAGCAGGATCAATTTTAAAAATAAAGCCGCTTGTCTTTTCCTCTCTAATACTAGCTCACTGATGTAACTTACTGATTACGAGGTTATTGTTGCCTGCAAGAAAACTGTCATGTATACAAGATGCTATTCATCTTTCTTGTCTGCTCAGACAAGAGGTGTGCAGGCCTATTATCCATGCTTTTGCACTTTTAGAGAAACTGCCACAAGGAAACAACGTCAGTGTGGAAAACACCAAACTGGATACAGTCATCTTCAATTTTGTTGCTGCTCCTACATCTTCTGAATCTTCTAGTAGGTAAATGAAGCTTCACAGCTCCTCTGCTGCTTCCACGTCTTGTCAACTATCTATAAGTAAACTTCTAGAGGTTCTCAGCTCCTTTAACTCAGAACAGGTTATTCTGAGTCACCACTATAAAATCACTGTAATCAAAGCTCATCTACCCATAACAAAAGGTAAATAAAAGTACTCTACTATACTTTTAGCTCCTTTATTTTCATCATTATTTTCATGTGTGTGTACGGTATTGTCAGGAAACAATACATGAAGTCTGGAGGTTATACAATTATTCATTAATGTTATGATGTACAAACATCATTCAAATTTAACAGACAATCAGCATTACTGGACACCCTCTCTCCCTATTAGTACTTTAAACCAAGATTTCTGATGCCATAGAAATATGTACTCACAGCTCAATGTATGATCCAGTTCATTGGTGAATTCTGGGACACAACCAGAGAAGCATGGCAGTAGGCCTACTGAGCCATGTGAGGCAGGCAGCACAGTTTAACACTTCCACTCATGCAACTCTCATTTAAAGCTACCCAAAATACTCTCTCAATGAAGATATTGGAAGTTTACTCCATATTTTTCTTTTATTCTCACTCAATCTTACTCTACTATATTTCTTAGCAGTCACCAACAAATAATTTTAACTGTGGTACACATATCACTGAAAATCATGGGAAAGTGTAATTATTGTAATGTGCAGTGTAATGTATAATGGTTTAGAGAGAAATTTAATTAAATATGAGATAGAAATGCAAATATGTTTTCATGTGATAACCCTATTTGTACCAGTCATTTCCTTTGACAAATTTGCTTATATGTGTTCGCAAGTAGTAGTAGTAGGTTGGCAGACAGCAACCACCCAGGGAGGTACTACCGTCCTGCCAAGTGAGTAAAACGAAAGCCTGTAATTGTTTTACATGATGGTAGGATTGCTGGTGTCCTTTTTTCTGTCTCAAACATTCAAGATTTCAGGTACGTCTTGCTACTTCTACTTACACTTAGGTCACACTACACATACATGTACAAGCATATATATACACACCCCTCTGGGTTTTCTTCTATTTTCTTTCTAGTTCTTGTTCATTTCCTCTTATCTCTATGTGGAAGTGGAACAGAATTCTTCCTCCGTTAGTCATGCGTGTTGTAAGAGGCGACTAAAATGCTGGGAGCAAAGGGGCTAGTAACCCCTTTTCCTGAATATATTACTAAATTTAAAAGGAGAAACTTTCGTTTTTCCTTTTGGGCCACCCCACCTGTGGGATACGGCTGGTATGTTAAAAGAAAGAAGAGCGTTCGCAAGTCCTTGATAATGTCTCAAGACAGTCTAACACTACACAATTTTGCTGATTCAGCCTCTATCAGGAGGTTATTTCAACATTCAAGTCCTATTACCTAATGAAAAAACATCTCCCAGCCGCTGTATGATACTGATGGACCTGACATGCCAAAAAATCCCTGGTGCAAGGCCTACAAAGTGAGGGATAGAACATGGAAGATTTCTCAGGCCTTGAAGAGGAAGGAATTATGAAATATATAGATAATAATAATAATCAAGTGTTGATGAACAACCATCAGGAACAGGAAGACAGCACGCCCCACCACTTTTCAAAAGACTGAATTTGCTAAATATACAAGACATACACTTGTATTACTGTGCCTACTAAATATACAGAACATTAAACTCCACTGTAAACCCTCCACTAAAGCTACTCCTTGACAGTTACAACAGAATGCACAGTCACAATACAAGGCATAAGGCACTTTTCAACATCCCTCAAGTCAGTCTCTCACTATGCAAGAACGCCATGCACATAAAAGGTCCAAAGATCTGGAACTCACTACTGGAACAGGTCAAGGATCCCCTGACAACTTTTAAATTTAGGACTTCAATAAAAAATCATCTTATCTCTCAATATTAACCAATCAACCAAAACATCTGCTAATTAGTTTTATTATGTGACTTCTAGGCTTTTAATTCTGCCAATTCATAAAATATTACCACCTGAACCATTACCTGTAATACAGATTTAGTGTGCAATTTCAAGATAATTTTATGAAACCTTACTCCACCTTACTACTACACATCTGTATTAAGTTCAAATAAGTTTGTAAAACAGTTAACCACTACTTCTTGTCTAGTTTTAAGTATAGTTACTATGTTCTTATTATCTTGTCTAGTTTTAATTAATTACTATGTATTAGGATTAGTCTGGCCAAAATGCCCTGGCATGATAGTGGCTATCTTTGACTGTACTTAGCAAATCATAATTATAATTACACATTGTAACCTTTATCTTATCTATGAAAAAGCTTCCAGAGCTGTTGGCACAGACATGGCACACTAGTGCAGTTCATTATAATATTAGCCTCTTAATATTAGAAATGGGTCTAGCAATAGTATAGCTAAGACTTCAAAGCATCCCTATGTTTGGGATACATTAAATAGGGTTCTTTGATATTATTACACTTTACAAAAGTACTTACAAACATCAGAAAATGTATGAGTAGAATGCATAGTGTTCATTATGGAAGAAATCACAATGAAACGCATGATTGCAATCACGTTTTTGTGACATCCATAGTTATGTATGCAACATATTGGAATCTATTTCTTTCTAATGCCAATCTGAAGTTATAAAATTGGGAATATGAAAAAACATTTTCTTTAAATTATTTTAATTTTTTTTTTTTACAGTTGTATTTGGTGGAGGACTTCATTTAATAACTTTTACAATTTGGTTAAAAGCTGAATTATAAGAGTGTCGTTTTCAGAACATGCATCGTATTAGGTTCGCTGGTCTTGTCCCGGCCCGGGTCTTATTCAGATGGTGACCTGGCGATACATGCATCGGTATTCTATGCACATTCATGTTATATGTGATGAGCTGTAATTTGATTGAGATCAATCAAGAACAGCAGATTTAATAAGGAAATGCCCTTGGGTGGTGGCCAGCCATGTAAAGTGGTGGACATGTGGCAACTAAACTTACTCAACCCAATCCTCCATTACACTGGGCAACACAACTTTCCTAGACAATATTCTCAGGCACACAATACCCTTACCATAACAGTGAGAGGGTCAGAAGCATCTGTGTTCTGTCTGTCATGATGAGAGAAAGCAAGAATAGTGGAAATGGAGCAGATGAAAGGGTGGGAGGAGGAAATGAGCAGAGGAATGGGCAGGAGAGAGACAGTGTTTGACAGGGTGGGAGGGAATGAGGAAAGAGGGAGGAATGAGGAGAGAAGGGGTAGGGGAGAGGAAGAGGGTAGGCAGGAGGGAGAAAAGGAAGGAGGGCAGGTAGAAGGGAAGGAGTAGAGGATTAAAGGTTAGGTTGAGTTAGTAAGTTTTGAAGCAGCTTTGAAGAAAAATAATGGAAAACTTGGTTATTCACACTGTTGTGTCAAACTACACTAGAAAAAAATACAATACAATAAACATACACAAATGAGATGCCCTCAACTTACACACCAACAGCAACGAGGCACCCGGGCACCAAGTAAACTTTTACTACCAATAAACTCCAATACCAATGTGAATTGAACAAATATCCTATGTACCATTTTTTGCTATATAAAACCAAGGTGAAAAACCGAACACTCACCTGTTTTTGAAACAATTCGTAACAATTTCACCTTTTGAAAGATGAAACAGCCAATTAAGTTTCCGACCACTATGTTGACTTGAGTAGAATGTTGTGAATCTGGACACACTTCTTTCCAGCTGTTGGCAAGTTAGGACATTTAGGAAACATTGAACACTGCACTATTTTAATGTAAAATGCCTAAAAATTAATACACAGTACATTATACTTGTGAAAAAGTTGCTACATAACCTCAGGCAACAGTAACCAAACTTAATGTACAAGTTATCTATAACTTACCTTCCATTAGCTATTTTGTCTTGTGCAAACCACCTTCAGGATTATGATACATCAAAAAATTGTAGGGTGATGTCACTTAGGTGATGGGTGCCTCAATATCACAGAAGAGCATAAGAAACAAGGAACAATGCAGTAGGCCTGTTGGCCCATACTAGGCAGGTCTTTTACAAATCAAACCCACTAACAGAATAAATGCTACCCAAGCAATAAGTTTTAATAATTCTATCCAACCCCTCTCACTCATGTATTTATCCAACCTAAATTTGAAACTACCCAAGGTTTTAGCTTCAGTAACCATACTAGACAGACTGTTCCACTCGTCAACTACAGTATTTCCAAACCAATAGTTTCCTATATCCATTTTAAATCTAAACTTATCTAATTTGAATCCATTATTGTGGGCTCTCTCTTGGAGAGATACCCTCAAGACTATTTATATCCCCTTTGTTAATACCCACCTTGCACGTACAGTAGGGCCCCGCTTTACGGCGTTCCGCTAATACAGTGATGTCAAATTATGACCAAAATTTGCTATACGGCTAGCGGTCTTTCAAATACGGCACGCCCCACCTGGTTTGTTTACATTCTCCGTGACCACATCTATTATTTCTGGAAACTTTCCAAAATTTCAAGTGTTTTAAAGTTATTGCATATTTTATATGTACTCTGATAATTATACTTATGTGTACCTGTACCTAAATATACTTACACACTGTGCTGGTGTGCAGGTACACATTAAAATTGCTAAGAGTCTCTCTACTCATGATGCCACAGTAATACTACGTAATAATAATCACTCTTGGACACATTAAATGTCTTATTTTACATTAATACAGATATTTTCAGTAATCCATCTATGATATTTTCTTCAAAATTATATAAGAAGCACATTACATAGCATATAAACATGATACACTCACAGAATAAAAATTGATGTAAATATGAGATTTGTTTACAAAGCGACTGTGTAAGTAGTGTCGGAAGAATTACGTTTTCTCTAGTCAAACACTGGGGGATAACTGTAGAAAAATATTCCTTTCGTGTGCCTTCACTCTATATACAGCAATTCATGACCCTTGTGGGTTTAGCACTTCTTTTTTATGACAATAATAATAATAATATCATTCACTCTAAAAATGGTGTGTTGCACGAGAATGGGAGTGTTGCTGTTTGTTTATTCTGTACTAACTTGTACACAATAAAAGAGTACATATTTGTATTGTGAGGTAATTATAATAAAAAAAAATAGTGAGGTAAAAGTTTTACAAACTCTTACAAACGTACGTGAATGAACTAAATGTACACACACATTAATCTGCATTTATTTCGCCTGACCAAGTGATCGCCCACTACCTGTTCAGTTTGTGTTTTTACATTGTCTAAACTCTGTATCTCGTTCTCTCTCTCGTTTACTCTTTCATTAACTAGTTGGCTCTCACTGACGATGGTGTCTAAGCTTAGGTGTGATAAAAAGAGGAGTCGTATGCCTCTTGCTTTAAGTGCCAAGTTAGAAATGATTAAACTGAGTGAACGTGGTATGTCTATGACTGAGATAGCACGTAAGCTTGGTTTGGCTCGTCAAACAGTTAGCACAGTTGTGAATAACAAGGAGAAAGTGTTGTAGGAAATTAAAAGTGCTACACCAGTGAACACTAAAGTTATAAGAAAACATGATAACCTTATTGCTGACATAGAAAAACTTTTAATGGTGTGGATTGACGATCAGACTAGTCACAATGTGCCTTTAAGCCGAGCCATTATCCAGTCCAAGGCCCTAAGTCTCTTCAATTCTATGAAGGCTGAGAGAGGTGAGGAAGCTGCTGAACATAAATTCACAGCTAGCAGAGGCTGGTTTAATAGGTTTAAGGAAAGAGGTCAACTTCACAACAACAGAGTGCAGAGTGAAGCTGCAAGCGCCGACAATTTAGCTGCAGAAAATTATCCATGTGAGTTAGCCGAGATAATAGAATGTGATGGACATACCAAACAACAGATTTTTAATGTGGATGAAACTGCATTATTTTGGAAGATGCCATCTAGGACATTTATTGCTAAAGAGGAGAAGTCAATGCCTGGCTTCAAAGCCGCAAAAGACAGGTTAACACTCTTGCTAGGAGCTAATGCAGCTGGTGATTGCAAGTTAAAACCTATGATGATTTATCACTCAGAGAATCCTAGGGCCCTAAAGAACTATGCAAAAGGCAGCCTCCCTGTTTATTATAAATCTAATTCGAAAGTTTGGATGACTGCCGATCTTTTCATAAATTGGTTCACGGACTATTTTAAGCCTAAAGTTGAGGCATACTGCAAGGAAAAGAAAATTCCTTTTAATGTTTTACTCGTTTTAGACAATGCCTCTGCCCACCCTACACCTCTACATCGTATGTACAAGGAGATAAATGTTGCTTTTATACCTGCAAACACAACTTCTTCATTGCAGCCAATGGACCAAGGTGTAATTGCAGCCTTTAAACCTTATTACCTACGAAGAACTTTCATTAAGGCTGTAAATTTCCTAGACAATGATAAAATGCCAGGACCTAAACAAAATAAATTTAAAACCATTCAGAAAGGTTTCACTACTTTGGATGGTATTAAAAATATTAGAGATGCATGGAATGAAGTTAAAGAAACTACCCTCAAAGGTGTTAGGAAGAATCTAATTCCTGAACTTATGGACGATTTTGAAGGCTTTGAGAATCCAGTGGATGAAGTGACCGTAAATGTTGAGGATATGGCAAGGGACTTGGAATTGGAAGTGGAGTCTGAGGATGTGAAAGAATTGCTTCTTTCTCATGATGAGCCTCTAACAGATGAAGATCTGACTGAAGAGCAAAGAAAAGTTTCATGAAGAGGAGATCCATCCTGATGATAGTCCTGTTGCCATTAAAGAAATAAAAACCCAGGATTTGGAAGAAGCTATTAACTATATAGAAATAGCAATGACAATTTTTGAGAAAATTGATCCAAATTTTGAACGAAGTTAAAAAGTGAATGCATCCCCTTACCATGATGTTACATGCTATAAAGAAATTTTAAGGGAAATGAAAAAAAAAAATCCCTGAGGCAAAGTTCAAAGGTTTCCTACTTTAAGAAAGTATCATGCAAACCTTCAACATCAACAACTAGCCTTGAACACTCCTTCAAGAGCTTCACACAAGTCTCCAAAATGAATAAAAGTTGAAAAATCAGATGATGATGTGTCATCTGATTTTATTTAATAAAGACCCCGTTACTCGCCTCACACACATTAATATTAATATTTTAAGGATATCATGTTGGAGAGGAGGAATATGGAAGAAGTGAATGTTTTCAGATATTTGGGAGTTGACGTGTCAGAGGATGAATTTATGAAGGATGAGGTTAATCATAGAATTGATGAAAGAAAAAAGGTGGGTGGTGCATTGAGGTATATGTGAAGACAAAGAATGTTATCTATGGAGACAAAGAAGGGAATGTATGAAAGAATAGTGGTACCAACACTCTTATATGGGTGTGAAGCTTGGATTGTAAATGCTGCAGCGAGGAGATGGTTGGAGGCAGTGGAGATGTCCTATCTAAGGGCAATGTGTGGTGTAAATATTACGCAGAAAATTCGGAGTGTGAAAATTAGGAGAAGGTGTGGAGTTAATAAAAGTATTAGTCAGAGGGCTGAAGAGGGGTTGTTGAGGTGGTTTGGTCATTTAGAGAGAATGAATCAAAGTAGAATGACATGGAAAGCGTATAAATCTATAGGGGAAGGAAGGAGGGGTAGGGGTCATCCTCGAAAAGGTTGGAGAGAGGTGGTCAAGGAGATTTTGTGGGCGAGGGGCTTGGACTTCCAGCAAGTGTGTGTGAGCATGTTAGATAGGAATGAATGGAGACGAATGGTAGTTGGGACCTGACGAGCTGTAGGAGTGTGAGCAGGGTAATATTTAGTGAAGAGATTCAGGGAAACTGATTATTTTTATATAGCCGGACTTGAGTTCTGGAAATGGGAAGTACAATGCCTACCCTTTAAAGGAGGGGTTTGGGTCACCCTGCCTCAATGGGAGGCAGCTAATTTCTTAAAAAAAAAAAAAAAGTGCAATAAGTGTACTCTGTATGTATCTTACTTTTAAATATTGTGTTTTTAATGCCTATTTCTAAGGCTGACCACTCCGCTTTTGTTTACAGTTTTCGGCATGAATTATTCATTACTTTTCCTTTCGTCTATGATGGCATCTAAAGGTAGTTGTTAAAAACGATTAAATTCAGTGAACAAGGTATGTCGATGCTAATAATATGGCTCTGAGTCACAGTGTAGGTAGCCAGTAGGTGCAGCCCAGGTGGGCTACACCTACCAGCTACCTCCTCCCATCCCATCAATCACCACCAGATCTTTAATAAAGGTAAGTGTCAGTTTATGTGTATTAAAATTAATATTTCATGTGGTAAAAATTTTTTTTTTCATACTTTGTGGTGTCTTGCATGGATTAATTTGATTTTCCATTATTTCTTATGGGGAAAATTAATTCACCTTACGATAATTTCGGCATACGATGAGCTCTCAGGAACGGATTAATATCGTAAGGTACTTTCATCATCATTCAACACTTTCACCTCACTCACACATCATCACTGTTTTTGCAGAGGTGCTCAGAATATAACAGCTTAGAAGCATATACGTATACAGATAAACAACACATCCCTCCAAACTGCCAATATCCCAAACCCCTCCTTTAAAGTGCAGGCATTGTACTTCCCATTTCTAGAACTCAAGTCCGGCTATATAAAAATAACTGGTTTCTCTGAATCCCTTCACTAAATATTATGCTGCTCACACTCCAACAGCTTGTCAGGTCCCAAAAACCATTCGTCT